GTTCTAAATGTGAGTCAGTTACCAAGCACCCAAAATGCTATCACATGATCATGGGTGCCTGTATGTGTGTGGCAGTTGTAATTTCAAGGACAGGGGGTAAGTTGATTTTTTTTTTAAAAAAAAAAGTCTATTGTAACTTTGAATAGTTATTAAGTGACCAGTCATAACTCCAGAACTATGGGTACTTTCAGTGTAATCAATTCAAACTTTTCATCTTCAAAAATGAAGTTTCATGCTAACATGAAACAGAAAGCATCTTAGCAGGTACAGTAAGTACAACGGCTGAAGCTACAAAGCAAGAACAAATGATTATCAGGCAAGATATATAAATGTGGAAGAGATATCTCTGACCTTCAAGGCAGGAACAGAATGGCCAGTGACTTGAATAATATGTGTGTATGTATGTGAAAGAAAACTCCAAGATTTAAATCTGAGAGCTATAGGCATCCCTGGCCATAATGACAGAACAGATATACACATTTAGAGAGGTCTATATACTTGTGCGCTGAAGAGTGTATGTATGTATAAAGTTGGCATATACACATTGTAGAAAAACAAGAATCCAACCAAATATGTACGTGTGTATATTCTCATATTTGTGCAATAGACAGCCTTGCTGCATTTATATGTCCTATTTTTGTCTACAATAAATAAACCCATCTAGCCATCCTGAGTCTATGAAGATTCTGCTGTTATTCTGAATGTGGGGAGAGGGAGTTTCTGGAGATATTTATAGCAATGCCTAATTTGAAGTCTGACCAAGATCCCTCTTCCTTTCAGTTTGCAAAATAGGCTTTTTTAATCATTCAGAAATCATTCCTTCTCTCAGAAGCTATAGTTAATAGACCCGATTGACTCTGGCCAAAGCTAATTTGAGGTTTGTTGTTAAAAACAAATCATGAATTCTCTGCCTTCACAACTCTGCTATTTATGCTTAGACTACTGAAACAGTAGAAGCCTCTATATGGTGATGGTGTATATATAAAAGATGGCAGTTGACACCATACAATTAAAACCTTACAATGTATGTCACTGCATTGAAATCAGTAGGATTTAAATGTGCCTAATTTAAATTTCATTAGCTTTAATGAGCCTACTCTTGATACAGAATCTGTATTCAACTTATCTATTTTATCCAGGTCTACTCTAACTAAACTTAAATCTGGTGGCCTCTTTTTAAAATCCTTCTTCCAAACCTATCATAGTGGTAAGATAAAGAATTTTGACTTATTAATCATTGATCTTAGAATATAGACACATTACATTACCCAATGATTCATAAATGTTAACAACAGGAAAAGCAATAATTGCAATAGCAGTGTCTATTTATAGCCTGCCTTTTAACAAAGTGCATAACAACTAATTAAACAGACAATTAAAAAAACAGAATGTCAAAGACAATGTACCAATATTTACATAATAGAATCACAAATTATAACAACATATTAAAAATTAATTTAGTCACCAGAACACAAAGACCAATTAAAAAATGCTGTCTTGTCCCCTACTAAAATTGCCAAAAGAGAAATTCAATTAGATAAAAACCCATAAAACAACAACATGGAAAAATAAAACACAATCCTTGCTAAGAATCATATTTTACATCATCACTCATTATAAAGGTCCACTTTTTTCATTATACCCACACTTATGTATTTCTAAACCTTTCTTAAATATATTAAACATTGTTAGGATACTCATTCCACATTTTGGTGACCATGTCCCAAAAAGCTTTGAAAACCGAAGATATTAAGAGGGTAGATGACATAGCCCAAAATAACTGTGAGGTTGCAATTACCCATGAAGATGGAACTAAGAGGAAGGATATAAGAAAAGGTAAAATGGAGCCCTGCATTGCATGGTTCTAGAGACCAAAATCAGATGTTCATACAGGTACTTCTCAACTTACGACCACAGTTGAGCACAAAATTTCTGTTGCTAAGTGAGATATTTGTTAAGTGAACTTTGCCCCATTTTACGACCTTTCTTGCTACATCTGTTATGTAAATCACTTCAGTTGTTAATTTAGTATTTATTTATTTATTTATTTATTTATTTATTTGATTTATATCCCGCCCTTCTCCCAACGGGACTCAGGGCGGCTCACAACATATTTAAAACAGAAACGTATTTACAATCCCCACCAAATAAAACCAATTAAAACCAAATATTTAAAGTTGTGCTGTTTAAAATTTTTCTTAAAATAAACCTGATTTAAAATCCTCCCTAGGCCAGGCCCGCTTGCTGGAAAAGCCATGTCTTGAGGGCGCGGCGGAAAGTAAGGAGATCCGGAATCATCCGGATCTCGGGGGGTAGTTCGTTCCAGAGGGCGGGGGCACACACAGAGAAGGCCCTCCCCCTGGGGGTCGCCAGCCGACATTGCTTGGCCGACGGCACCCTGAGGAGACCCACTCTGTGGGAGCGTACCGGTCTATGGGAGGGAATCTGTGGCAGAAGGCGGTCTCGGAGATAGCCAGGTCCTATGCCATGGAGCGCTTTAAAGGTGGTAACTAACACCTTAAAGCGCACCCGGAAGGCC